CTTCACCCCACTTTGTCTGACTGCAGGAGCCGGCGCGCGCAGAGAGTCGCCGTTTACGTGGAAAACTACGGAACAGGAGGTTATCTCCGGAACATTCCGCCCAGAAGAGAAGTGGAAGTCCAGTCATGCAGGTCCAAACTCCTCCACCCACAGAGACTCGAGAGGCGTTTGGGGAACACTGACCTGAATCACACTGTTTTGTGATTTTAATAAAAGGGTTCTGCTCAAATTTCACTTTTTAAACCAAGAACTGACAAAAAAACAACAAAATTAAACTTACTAAGTATCGAAAATCAGACACTAATCCATCCTAAAACTAATATCGAATCTAGATCCTCATTTTTTGCAAGTACTGATACCAAAAATGTCATCAGAAATGAACCTTTTCACATTTTAAAAGAAGAATTGAAAAAACTACAACAAAAAAAACTTACTAAGTATCGAAAATCAGGCACTAATCAATCCTAAAACTAATATCGAAAATAGTATCCTCGTTTTTTGCAGGTATCGATACTAAAAAAGTCAGAAATTAACCTTTTGACATTTTAAACGATGAATTGACAAAAAAACAACAAAATTAAACTTACTAAGTATCGAAAATCAGACACTAATCCATCCTAAAACCAGTATCGAAACTAGATCCTCATTTTTCAGAGGTGTTAATACTAAAAAAGTAACTAAAAAAGTTTTAAACAATTGACAAGAAACAACAAAATAAAACTTACTAGGGTTGTTATAAGTATCGAAAATCAGGCACTAATCAATCTTAAAACCAGTATCGAAACTAGATCCTTATTTTTTGCAGGTATCGATACTAAAAAAGTCAGAAATTAACCTTTTCATATTTTAAACAAAGAACTGACAAAAAAAACAACAACAAAAAACTTACTAGGGTTGTCGTAAGTATCGAAAATCAGACACTAATCGATCCTAAAACCAGTATCGAAAACTAGATCCTCATTTTTCACAAGTATCAGTGCTAAAAAAGTCAGAAATAACCTTTCCTGAATCGCTTTAGAATGATCTTGAAAAGTATAAGAGCACATAGACTAGTATACGCTCATGGACCTGGTTTAGTCCTGGTTTAGTCCTGGTTTAGTCCTGGTTTAGTCCTGGTTTAGTCCTGGTTTAGACCTGGTTTAGTCCTGGTTTAGACCTGGTTTAGTCCTGGTTTAGTCCTGGTTTAGTCCTGGTTTAGACCTGGTTTAGTCCTGGTTTAGACCTGGTTTAGACCTGGTTTAGACCTGGTTTAGACCTGGTTTAGACTTGGTTTAGTCCTGGTTTAGACCTGGTTTAGACCTGGTTTAGACCTGGTTTAGACTTGGTTTAGTCCTGGTTTAGACCTGGTTTAGACCTGGTTTAGACCTGGTTTAGACTTGGTTTAGTCCTGGTTTGACCTGGTTTAAACTTGGTTTAGTCCTGGTTTAGACCTGGTTTAGACCTGGTTTAGACTTGGTTTAGTCCTGGTTTAGTCCTGGTTTAGACTTGGTTTAAACCTGGTTTAGACCTGGTTTAGACTTGGTTTAGTCCTGGTTTAGACCTGGTTTAGTCCTGGTTTAGACCTGGTTTAGACCTGGTTTAGACCTGGTTTAGAGTTAGTCCCTGGTTTAGACTTGGTTTAGTCCTGGTTTAGACTGGTTTAGTTTAGACTGGTTTAGACTGGTTTAGTCCTGTTTAGACCTGGTTTAGACCTGGTTTAGACCTGGTTTAGACTGGTTTAGTCCTGGTTTAGACCTGGTTTAGACTTGGTTTAGTCCTGGTTTAGACCTGGACCTGGTTTAGACTGGTTTAGACCTGGTTTAGACTTGGTTTAAACCTGGTTTAGACCTGGTTTAGACCTGGTTTAGACCTGGTTTAGACTTGGACCACTGAGGGGTTGCACAGATCTAAGGCCATGTAGGAATAGAAAAGAAAGTTCTCAAATTTTATGCTGAAAATCACATTCTACCGTCTAAAGAAAGAGCATTTTTATTGTCATTGTGGTATCGGAATCGGTATCGAGTATCGTGACAACATTAAAACTAAAACAAGATTCATATTTCGCAGCCTGTTTGTGCCGATCTAAACAACAATATTATCATTTTCTTAATGCAAAATAAGCCCAGAGATTTGTTTGTGGATGAAACTCTTGTCCTTCCAAAACCTGCAGACTTTGTGATTTTCCAAATTACGTGACATTGAGCGATGATCTGGTTTGGATTCATCTCACTGATCTCATTTACATGTTCAGGAAAAGTGAAAGGACGACGACGCAGCCTAAAGGAGAAGTACGAGTTCAGTCAAGCAGGTGAAAAGACGACTCCACCCAGAAACTGAAATCTGATTTTAAGAGAACGCTTTTTAGAATAGGTCTGGACAAAGCCTTTTGACAAAGAGTTTTCTAATCACTCCGCACCTGATGCCCCGGGGCGGACTGGCACGAGCGAGGCCGCCAATCTGCGCCATCTGCCCCCTCCAAACCATCAAAAGGAGGGCAGATGTTACTAAAGATTAAAGCTGGGTATCGTTACGAAATTGCCGATACGATACAAACCTCGATACAGCGAGCTTACGTTTCGATATATATTTCAACTCGATTCGATACGGTTCAGTAAAAATAAAGGCAAAATCGTGGCTGTGATGCTAAAAGTCTTTGTTAAACCACTTCTTCTTCTGCAAAGTTCATATGAAACACAAACATTTTAATCATCAAAACTGTGAAAATGTCAAATGTGTCGCATAAACGAGTTTCCTTCCACTAAACAAACAACAAAACTGTAGCTGGAACAAAATAATTACCTAAAATGAATCAAAAAATACTCTTGGTGATGTATTGATACAGTATCATCACATTAAACAATGCAATATTTGGATATTTTTGCACACCCTTGTTGTGCAGTGGGTGAGACTAGGGCTGAGTATCATTCAGAAGTTGCCGATACGATACATGGGCCACGATACGACACATTTCTCGGTACAGTGAGCTTTCGGTTCGATATTTCAAAAATGCGGTTCAGTAAAGAAATAAAGTGTAAATCATGTCTCTGATACTAAAAAAAACACTTCTTGTGCAAAGTGAATATGAAAAAACAGCCATTTTAATCATCAAAACTGTGAAAATGTCAAATGTGTCACATAAACGAGTTTCCTTCCACTAAACAAACAACAAAACTGTAGCTGTAACAAAATAATTTTGTAAAATCTACCAAAAAATCCTCTTGGTGATGTATCGATACAGTATCATCACATTAAACGATGCAATATTTCGATATTTTTGCACACCCTTGTTGTGGAGCGGGTGAGACTAGGGCTGAGTATCATTCAAAAGTTGCCGATACGATACATGGGCCACGATACGACACATTTCTCAGTACAGTGAGCTTTCGGTTCGATATTTCAAAAATATGGTTCAGTAAAGAAATAAAGTGTAAATCATGTCTGTAAAACTAAAAGTGTTTGTTAAACCACTTCTTCTTGTGCAAAGTTCACATGAAACACAAACATTTTAATCATCAAAACTGTGAAAATGTCAAGTCAAGTCAAGTTTCCTTCCACTTAACAAACAACAAAACTGTAGCTGTAACAAAATACTTCAGTAAAATAAACCAAAAAATACTCTTGGTGATATATCGATACAGCAGCCCACGATATCGATACTGTATCATCACATTAAATGATACGATATATCGTGAAAATAACGAGAAAGTTGGAAATCGTTCTGTACAGAGTCTGTGTTTTTGTGTTGTTTTTTTTCATTGCACATGCCACATCTCTCTTAGAAAAGCTGCGTGAAGTGTCTTGCTCAAGGACATAACAACACAGGCGCACTAGAGTCTCTGTGTCCAAAGTCCTCGCTTCATTTCCAAGACCGGACCGGATCTAGACCAGGTTCCTTTTGGACACCGTTTTTCATTTTAAGTTTTGTTTTCGTTTGTCGTTTTTACGTTGTGTCCGACTTTCGGTAATCCTGCGTGTTTACACCCCACTGCGTGACATCATCGAGTGCGAGCGAGCATTATCACGACTCCCTGGACTCAGTAACGGGATCTTTAATCAGTCAAACCTCCTCAACTCAGTAAAAAAAAAGAGTTAAAGTTAGAGTGTGCAACTTTCTGGAGATGGTAGGAGTCAAAAAAAAAAAAAAAAAGAGGTTTAATTTTAGTCTAAAAAGTGATGTTTGTGCTTTTAAGTCATCATTTTTCGAAGGTGCACTTTGTATTTAGAGTAATTTCAAGACATTTTATTTATTCTTTACGCAAATTAAACGTACTGCTTCTTTCAGAAACTGCGATTTCGTGTTAAAATGTTTGATTTTCTCCATCGAGATGTTACTGCTTTGGCTGGAATGTTTCGCAGTGCAGCATTAAACCTTTCTATTTTCAAGGAAACCAAACCAGACCAAGCTACAAGTCAGATCTGCGGAGAGGTAATCGTGTTTTTCTAAGAATTACTGAGCTATAAAACGATAAAAAATTGTAAAGTAAAGTTGTTAAACGTCCACAAAAACAAGCAGGTGACGGACTCTCCACCAGAAAAGTTACACAATGCACCTTTAATAATACGCTTAAGGAATCCACAAAACTCGTAGCTTCTGATTTCGGTTTTAAAAAAATGTCGTTTTGGGTTTTTAATTCGATTCAAATCAAGAAAAATCTAATCAGAAGTTGGTTGTTGGCGTCTCGTTGGCACGTTTCAATGAACTCACAAATGATCGTAACTCTGGTTTACGAAATCACTTTACACAACTTTAAAAATGTTCAGCTACAACCTACGATCCCAGAAACATTTTTTTTTGGACACTTAAAACGATATTAAACTTGATTTAAGCACAAAATTCCTGCTCGGTTGCGCGTTTCGAACAGCATACGCTTTTTTTTTTTTTGCTTTTTTTTTTACAGTAGCGTCTCCAGGTCTCAAACTTTAACCTCTGCCGACGCGACACACGCACGATCACGTACACAGCCCGCGTTTGATGACACCAATCAAAGCAATTAAACCGAAAAGTGCGCCGGATGCCCTACCTGCTCGTGTCGGTCCGCTCGTCCGCGCGCAGAGCCTCGAGCCGTCGGCACAGCAGGCTGACGCAACACGCAGCCAGCAGGAGAGGAAGAAGAGGAAGAAGAGGACGCATCCCGGTACCAAAGTCTGCTCCAAGCGCGCTCCAACGAACTCTCTCTCTCTTTTTTTTTTTTTACGCACAGCCGCGGGGAAACACGCTCCAGCCAATCGGATCAATAAAAAAAAAGTCTTAATCCAGCGAAAAATCCCAAAACGTGGAGTCACCTTGAAGAGAAAAAAGAGAGAAAATGAGCTTTAAACTTTCTGCAAAACGTTAAATTAATAAACTCTCACGCGTTTTCATTCATAAAGACAAATTTGTGCGTAATTTTAACCACTTTTTGCTTTTATATGTTCAAATTTAAACAAAAATTGTGAATAAATCAACCTGGCGATGTTTAAAAACCGTGCGTAAAAGTCCCGTGCGTAAAAGCGGTTTACCTTCAGCTGCGTAAAAGTTTTCCAAAGTGTTCCAAAGGGTTGTTTAGTGTTTTTTTTTTTTTTTTTTTTCTCACTAAATCCACGCGTGCGGGTCGGTCGCGTTGGAAGTCGGGAAAGTGCGAGCCGGCTCTCATGGTGCGTTTAAATAGTGCAGAGGGAGGAGCCGGAGGAGCGCGGCGCGGGCGGGCGGGTAAAGGTAGAGAGCGGCGGGCGGTGATTGGAGGAAGCGGCGGAGAGAGGAGAGGGATGCGCCGGGGACGAAATGGCGCCGCTGCGTGAGACGTGCGCGGAGCCGGAGCCGCGCGAGGGACGAAACACGCTCGAAAAGTGAACTTTGAAGTGAAGCAAGACGAATAACAAATATTTGATTTTTGTAATTTGGAGTTTACTGAAAAAATAAAGGTGCACTGTGTCACTTTTTGGATAGCGTTTTTTGGTTAGGCCTCTTCCAGTCCTTGTTTAGTCCTGGTCCAGTCCTTGTTTAGTCCTGGTCTAGTCCTGGTTTAGTCTTGGTCCGGTCCTGGTGTAGTCCTGATCTAGTCCTGTTTCAGTCCTGGTCTAGTCCTGGTCTAGTCCTGATCTAGTCCTGTTTCAGTCCTGGTTTAGTCCTGGTTTAGTCTTGGTCTAATCTTGGTCTAGTCCTGGTTTAGTCTTGGTCTAGTCCTGGTTTAGTCTTGGCCTAGTCCCGGTCTAGTCCTGTTCCAGTTCTGATCTAGTCCTGATCTAGTCCTGGTCTAGTCCTGGTCTAGTCCTGTTCCAGTCCTGGTTTAGTCTTGGTCTAGTCTTGGTCTAGTCCTGGTCTAGTCTTGGTTTAGTCCTGGTTTAGTCTTGGTCTAGTCCTGGTTTAGTCTTGGTCTAGTCCTGGTCTAGTCCTGGTTTAGTCTTGATTTAGTCCTGTTCCAGTCCTGATCTAGTCCTGTTCCAGTCCTGGTTTAGTCCTAGTTTAGTCTTGGTCCGGTCCTGGTGTAGTCCTGGTCTAGTCCTGGTTTAGTCCTAGTTTAGTCTTGGTCCGGTCCTGGTGTAGTCCTGGTCTAGTCCTGGTTTAGTCCTAGTTTAGTCTTGGTCCGGTCCTGGTGTAGTCCTGATCTAGTCCTGTTCCAGTCCTGGTTTAGTCCTAGTTTAGTCTTGGTCCGGTCCTGGTGTAGTCCTGATCTAGTCCTGTTCCAGTCCTGATCTAGTCCATGTTTAAGCTGCACTGCGTGATGTCATCAGGTGCGAGCGCCTTCCCCAGACTCTCCCTGGTCCTTATCAACCTGGACTCAGTAACACGTGGACGGGATCTTTAATCAGTCAAACTTCCTGAAGTAAATAGAAAAGAAAAGTTAAAGCTTCAGTGTGTAACTTTTTGGAGTCAGGTTTGTGGAATAAACAAAAACTAAATTTTAAAAAACAACAACAACAAAAGAGTTTTATTTTGGAACTCTGAAGTGAAGCGAGACGAATAACAAATATTTGATTTTTGTAATTTGGAGTTTACTGAAAAACTAAAGGTGCACTGTGTCACTTTTCCATTGGCGTCCATCACTTCACCTGCTCGTCTCTATGGATACATCATCGCTCTGTCTGGAATGTTCCACAGTGTGACATTAAACAGTTCTACTTTACATTTATTTAATAACAGGAGGTTTTGTAGTTCAGAAAGATTTTTTATTACTTATTTTTCAATTTTATTTTGACTTGTACATAAATATTTATGTAATATTTATGTAATAATGTAACAGTTATATTTATTTGACACTTTCTTGCTATTTTTGCGACTTATTTAGAATTAATTATTATGATATTTATATTTTTTACTCTTTATTATATTACATATTATATATGATGTGTGAGCTGCTGTGTCAGGAAAGTTTGTCTAAGTTTAAGGGTCTAAACAGTGAAGTTTTTATTCATTTTGGTCTTTCGTCCACATGGAGCCAGTGTTTCGGGCGAAAACTGAGTTTTTGAGAACAGGTTCCAGAGTGGAAGAAATCTGAGAACGTCGGCGTTACGTTGTCGTGTGGACAAACAAACCGCAGCTTTTGGAAAGGATGACGTCATGACCTCATCATCATCAGGCTCCTCTGATGCAGCGATGGCCGCAGCCCTTGAACTCGCCTCTGCAGACCACAGGACCGTTTCCGAAATGTGACAGGTGCAGCCTACAGAGCCGCTCCTGTCGCCAACAACCGAGACACACTGTTAACACTAATACTAACAACACACACCACAGACACACACACGGATCAATAACACAGACACACGAGGAATTAAACTGATGGATTTTCAAACCAAGTTATTCTAATAATTCTCATCTAAATCTTATGACTAAAAACGAAAACTTGATATTATTTATCTTAAAGTTAAAAAAAAAACTGTGATGAGATCTGCATTATTAAATATTATTATCATTGTTACAGCGCCACATACAGGTGTGGCAGATGTATTACATCATTTTCACTCAATGCTCCGTTGTCGTCTGGACGACGATCCTGGTCTAGTCCTGGTCTAGTCCTGGTCTAGTCCTGGTCTAGTCCTCATGTGTCCTTCTGGTGTAGATATTTATTCTCCGTTAATGTTTGTGGTTCTGGTTCTTCGGTCTTTCTTTTTCTTCTGTATAATAAAGTCTTTACGTCATTAGATACTCTTCCCTGATTGGTTGACGCGACGCATCTGACATGAAAAGTTCAGCATTTTTAACTTTGCCCTGGACGCGCGTCTAGAGAGTCGACGCCAGATTCATGTCACATTGACGCCCAAAAACACATCGACTTCACATTTAAACTGGACGCTTTGACACTCCGGTCTGAACGAGCCTTAAGTCGCCTCTTCACAGATCTGACCTGTAACTTGGTCTGGTTTTGTTTCCATGGAGAAAAACATTTGACGGATCCTTCACCAGAAAAGTTACACAACGCAGCAGGAAGTAAAAGTGTGAGCAAAAACTGAAAACAAAAAGTAAAAGTATCACCAGATGTGAAAGTGCTGAAGTTCCTGTTTAAATAAATCTACTTTTAGACTAAAAATGAAAGTTTTATTGATGAGAAAAATGTGGTTTTAACAGAAAAGAAAGTTGTTTGAGAAAAACAAATGAATCAGTTTTTACTTGCGGTTTGTTTGATACAAATACAGACTTTCAAATGCAGTGAGGTAAAAGTAAAAGATAAAATTATCTATTCTAACAAAATAGCACAGGAGCCTATTTTTTATTTTTGTTTTATTTATTTATTTATTTATTTTAACATTCTGTGCAGTACTTTTACCAGTTTTTTTTTTTTTAAACTGGTAAAAGTACTGCACAGATGCCTATTTTTAATTTTAATTTTATTTATTTTTGTATTATTTTTTTCTGTGCAGTACTTTTACTTTTGTACCAGATTTATGCTAAAGAAAACTACACAACTTTCAAATGCTTTTCTCCATGGAGATGTTATTGCTTGGTCTGGAATGTTCCACAGTATGACTTTAAACCTTTCTATCTTCACAGAGACCAAACCGGACCAAGTTACAGGTCAGATCTGTGGAGAGGCGAAGATGATAACAGTAAAAATGACTAAACTGTAATGTTAAGTCCTTGTTTAGTCCTGGTTCAGTTTTGGTTCAGTTCTCGTTGAGTTCTTGTTTAGTCCTGGTTTAGACCTGGTTAAGTCCTGGTTTAGTCCCGGTTTAGTCCTGGTTTAGTCCTGGTTTAGTTCTGGTTCAGTCCTGTTTTAGTCCTGGTTCAGTCCTGGTTTAGTCCTGGTTTTGTCCTGGTTCAGTCCTGGTTTAGTCCTGGTTCAGTCCTGGTTCAGTCCTGGTTCTAGTCCTGGTTCAGTCCTGGTTTAGTCCTGGTTTTGTCCTGGTTCAGTCCTGGTTCAGTCCTGGTTCTAGTCCTGGTTTCAGTCCTGGTTTAGTCCTGGTTTAGTCCTGGTTTAGTCCTGGTTCAGTCCTGGTTTAGTTCTGGTTCAGTCCTGGTTTAGTTCTGGTTCAGTCCTGGTTTAGTCCTGGTTCAGTTCTGGTTTAGTCCTGGTTTAGTCCTGGTTCAGTCCTGATTCATTCCTGGTTTAGTCCTGGTTTCAGTCCTGGTTTAGTCCTGGTTTAGTCCTGGTTTAGTCCTGGTTCAGTCCTGGTTTAGTTCTGGTTCAGTCCTGGTTTAGTTCTGGTTCAGTCCTGGTTTAGTCCTGGTTTAGTCCTGGTTCAGTCCTGATTCATTCCTGGTTCAGTCCTGGTTTAGTCCTGGTTCAGTCCTGATTCATTCCTGGTTCAGTCCTGGTTTAGTCCAGGTTTAGTCCAGGTTTAGTCCAGGTTTAGTCCTGGTATGGTCCTGGTTTAGTCCTGGTTTAGTCCTGGTTTAGTCCTGCTTCACTTTTGGTTTAGTCCTGGTTACTTCTGGTTGAGTTCTTGTTCAGTCCTGGTTTAGTTCTGGTTTAGTCCAGGTTTTCCAGTCCAGGTTTAGTCCTGGTTTAGTCCTGGGAAAGATCAGAAAAATTTCCATTCATGAAAAAATCACAGATTATTCTGAAATTTGGCGCAGTGACTCTTCATGTCGTCCCGATCAAAAAAGTCAATGACGACCCTACGGAATCTTTCATTGGGTTGCCATGGCGATGCGTCAAAGCGCCCATCTTATCCTAATGGCAAATTTTCATTTTAGTTTCACTGACGAAAGTGAAATTTGGCACAGAGATTCTTCAGGTCTCCTCGATCAAAAAAGTCCAGGGGCCAACGTCGTATTTATCTTTGTTACTCTTTGTTATTATGCCGTAGGGTCAGTCCGTACCAAATCAGCTGTTTTTAAGGAATTTCCCCAATGAGCCGTCTCAGATTTGAATGAAAAAATGCCTAAAAATGTTTAAAATCACCAAATGAAAACATTTTCAACGAGCCAAAACTCAGGAACGACTCAAGGCATTGAGCTAAAATTTAGATTCTTTCATTTTGTGATTTTAAAAATGTTTTGAATTTTTTCAGTCAAATCTGAGGCTCATGGGGCAGAGCGGCTGGTTTCATCTGGACCGAGTCTGTTCAGTGTGTGAACTGAGTCCAGTTGGATTCATAAAGTTTGTCTAAATCTAAAAGAGCAAAACAGTAAAAACTTGAACTGTTGTCGTGACATTTTGTGTGTTTGTCATCTGGCATTTTAATGACATTTTACACACAC